AACACTTACCTTCACTTTTCCTTTTACCACTCTCAGTTTCGGTTAACCTAGAGAAAACCACATATGATGGAAATGGTATTGAGATGATATGTGTTTTAATTTGAATTTAACTAGAGTAGAAGAATGGGAAAGAGAAAAGTGGAGATTATTCTTAGGAATTTCACCTTTTATTTATAGTATAGAAATGATATTTGTTATCATTTTTATTAGAATTATTATAAATAAATTGGAGAGAAGATCTAGTAATCCAATTTTAACTTGAGGCAATTTATGTTGATAAGCTATAATTACGATTGAAGAGGAACTTGACCAAACGGTTCATCCGTCCATACAATCCAACAGGTTAGGCGCTGCTATATCTCCAGGAGACCAAGGATTGAATCTCAAATAAGAGTTCCTATACTATACACCCGGTTGTATATGTACACCCAGTTTTTTTTGTAATTTTTTTCATCTTTAGGTCCATTTCATACGCACTATTTTATTCTCTCATGTCCTTTCGTAAAAGGATCGTATGAGGTACGCTGCTTCACCCAACTCGATCTAGCTCCCATATCTGAAATCCAGTATCTGCCGGTGCCTCAAAGGGTTGCCTTTTCCCCAGATTTTTTTTGGATCCGTTGATACTAAAGTTTTGTTCTTCTGTTCTCATATCATTCGATACTCATTTCCAATTTGTACCTAATCTGATACTCTCAACTATCATTCTTTATTTTATTTCTTATATTTATATCCTTGAGTCTTAATTGATAAGAGTATTTAAAATGGACACTTGTGAAATTGAACTAAAAAAGTCGATGACTATTTGAATAAAAGATAGACATCTTGATTTAATTGATTTATTATCAATTGTTCAGAAAAATTACAAAGTGAGTTTTAGCGTCTTTCTTGGTCAAATGTTAACTGATTGATGCACTTGTATAATACGATGTATGTTGATATACATATGATCTTGTGACTAGATTCTCTAACTCTTTTCTAATTTTATACTTTGAGTTTATTTTGATTGTTATATATCTCATACGGCATAAATATAGAGATCATTTAGACAATGAATAAAATACATTAAAATAGTATTTAAATGAGCATTGGTGCAATTCTAATGAGCATTAGACCTATTTTGTTGAATATTAGGAGTCTAATATTAAGATCTTTGCTTCATATTATTTAATTCACTCTATTTTTTTCTTTTATAATAACTTATTAAATTATATATATAATCAACTCCTATGAATTTCAATATGTGAATGAGTGAATCTAACGTAATACGTAGTATGATACTTTTAACATATGCATTGATATAACATTTTAAAAAATGAGCATACCATCAGTATCAAATGAGCATGTATAACTTACACAATGTGCATTGATATGAAAATCGTAAGGTTTGGTAGTTCAACATCACGACATTTTTATTGAGTATCAAACATCCTCCATTGAGATGAAATCACGGTTTCTATTAAATGAGCATTAAGAAACTTTTAATGAGTATCAGATCTATTCTGTTGAGTAGTTTTTGTAATTTATGAGAAAATCTCAACTCCTGTTAAATGAGTATCATCTAAATTACTTCGTTGTTTTAAATTACTTCGTTGTCTTCAACCCTAGGTGATATCATCTGATCTTCGGAATCAGGGACGTCGGCCCAACTGGAGGCATCGACACAGTCTTCAACCACCACATCTGCATGCATGACCAAGAATGGCTCGTTTTTCGCCATTAATGGATCTACAAATCCAAAATTTGTATCGATGGGAGGGCTTGACAACACAGGGTGCAAAAATCTGAAAAATGGAGAGCAGAGTTGAACATACAGATGGGGTGTTCGAATGAGAGATAGAGATAGAGAGATAGATAGATAGATAGATAGATAGATAGATAGATAGATAGATAGATAGATAGATAGATAGATAGATAGATAGATAGATAGATAGATAGATAGATAGATAGATAGATAGATAGATAGATAGATAGATAGATAGATAGATAGATAGATAGATAGATAGATAGATAGATAGATAGATAGATAGATAGATAGATAGATAGATAGATAGATAGATAGATAGATAGATAGATAGATAGATAGATAGATAGATAGATAGATAGATAGATAGATAGATAGATAGATAGATAGATAGATAGATAGATAGATAGATAGATAGATAGAGAGAGAGAGAGAGAGAGAGAGAGAGAGAGAGAGAGAGAGAGAGAGAGAGAAATATGGAAAGACAGGAGAGAGGGGAGCAGGTATATGGAGTTATAATGAGTTAAATGGTCGATGGGGATAATAAATATGGATAGATGTAATAAAGATGGTAAGGGTATTAGGATAAAATGATATGGTAAAAGTTGCTAAAATAGAAAAGAATGAGATAATATTGGGATGTACCGAAATGGAAAGTGGGAAGGTAATTTAGGGATGGAGGGAGTAACTATTTTCATAATGAAAATGTAAAAAACACGAAAGTAAATATTAAATAAAATTATTTAAAGTAAAAAAAAAAAACTAGTTCTATAGTGAGAGAGTGTCTGAACTGGACGAGGGATGACATCCAGCCACCCTCCGTCGGTCTCTTGAGATTTTTTTTCGGGCTTTACTCTAAAACTCGTGGTTTGGGGGTTTTCCGGTGGGTTCTTATTAATCCATATATGAGTGGTGTAGGTTGCTTCCCTTTCTGACTCCCCGTTCGGTCTCCTGGTGGTTGAATCATGAGCAAACCTCAGTGGTCTAGATGATTGAGGTATGATCCGGTACTATTTCTCAACAGTAGTTTTAGAGCTCTAGTGGTTACCTCCTCTTGCAAAAGACGGACACTCACCGGAAGTCTCCCCCAGCCTGGTAATGCCTCTGTTTCTACACCATGGGTCATCTTGCTAAGTCGGATAGTCCCTCCTTTGGACATCCTCTCAGGTATAATAGTTGAAATCCTAGGGTCGCCGAAGTGCCACCGGGTTATGTATACATGGGTAGATTTGTACTCTTTGTGGATAGATCTACCGGTGGAAACCCTGGATCTAGTGTTGCATGTGTAGAATCTGTCTCTTGTTGAGTAGGTCTACAGAACCCTAGGTGCTGGTTCAACTTTGCATGAATGGATCTACTTTGTATCTACTTGGATCCACTGTCTATCCTTGTAACTAATTTTCGTGCACTGTTTATCTATGTGATTGATTTGTTTGTCTCATTTAGGGGATTTGGGCAAATAAGCCCTCAAACTAATTAAAAAAAGTGCAAATAAGCCCTTATATAGGAGGTTTTTTCCGGCCGTCGTCATTTGGAGATGTTCCCGGTTGAAATTTTTGATGAATTTTTTTGAAAATCTTCTTCATTAAGTTTAGTTAAGTCATACCAAATTTCAGCTAAAAATTCAACTCAGAAGGCAGTCAAATGATTTTCTGAAATATATTGCGCTGTTTAACTGTGCAGTTATCTTCACAAATTTATTTGTCTGCTTTCCCGATTGAAGATTTAGCTGAAATTTGGTATGACTAAACTAGACTGAATGAAGAAGATGCTCAAAACATTTCATCAAACAATTCCACCAGGAACCTCTCCAGATGCCGATGGCCGGACAGAACCTCTTATATATGGGATATTTGCACTTTTTTTGTTAGTTCGAGGGCTTATTTGACCATTTTCGCTCTCATTTATATTATCATCACTTGTTCTATAACTTGCTCTTGCATGTGTTTTTAATAATTCTTCTGCTTTTGGTCTGTTTTATACTTTTATTGTGATAGTTTCCGACTTCTAGTAATACTGATGGTTTGTAATCTCTAGTTGGCTAAGGCACCTGAGGTTAAGGTTAGGGGATTCCCTTATGATCAAGCCACTCCAGTGGCCCCGGATATGCGTAGCCCTTAGTTTGTTACCTAACCTTCTAGGGTTAGCCCCTTTATTACCCTCAATTCAGTTATCTGTGTGTATTGTGTTCCTTACTATGTCTTTCAATATGTATGACATGCATGATTCCCTTTGATGGTAAATCTGAATTTCATATCTAGAAACAGAAAATAAAATGTTTGTTATTATAATAGAAAGTTTATATAGTTGTTACTGATCAGTATTTAAATTTTGAGGATAAACTTAAACAAATAGAAATGATTGAGACATCTTGCTCTACCATTTACCTAAATTTATCTCATTTTGTCCTTGAAAAAGTAGGTATCCTAGAATTTGCTAAGGAAGTTCGGGATAATTGGAATCTCAGCACACACATTTCTTTACATGGCAAATCGTTTTTACATGAAAAATCCTAGAATTACACTATCTGACCTTATTTGGACAAGGGCATTGGCGATGAGCGTCGCTTGCTTTGGATGGGCGTTGGACTTGCCCCACATTAGGTCGTTATTTGGCCCTTTCCTCCTTATGGGGTTTCGGGGTCAACCCTGTATTGGGTCAATTACTCCAACAATATTAATTACAAAAAAACGGCTATGTCATACCTTGGTACAACTAGGGACGGACCTATATTTGTTCAAAAGTGTTATGTGAATACCCAAAAAATTTAACTAGTAGTGCAAGAAAGTTTTTACTTGGACAGTAAACCGTCCCAGACCAGATCAGACCAGTTCAGACCAGACCAGACTTGAATAGTTATAAAAATACAAAGAGACTAGACATTACCAAACCAGACCAATTCAGACCAAACCAGATCAGATGAGATCAGACCAGACCTGACTTGACTAGCAAATTACAGTCCAAATAAAAACATCCTAAAAATACATGTATATGAGTGCTAGTGTTAAAATTTATGTATATGTATATGAACGCCTAAAACTTGTAAAATTAATATCCAAGATCCTAAATATAACTTGTATACGTATATGTACAACCGGTTGTATATACGATAGTATAATGTAACTTGTGTACTGTGTAGCGCCTAAATACTACGTGTTTTATATAGGGAGAGAATGAGTACTTTTTTTTAAATAAAAATTAACATCATTGATAATACTTCTTCCTCAAAACCAGGTTCCAAATTAGCCTCTCTAGCCTAACACTTGTATTATGACTCCAAAATAGGGAGAGGGTGAGCACACTTTTATTAATTGTATTATTTTGAAAGAGTACATCATATGATGTGATCATGTATACACACTAGCTAGTACACAAAATCATCATCCTTCTAGGCAGTAATGCCACCACTTGGAATGCAAGCTAGGGAAAAAAGAATGAAATTTTTAGTTAAAAATACCAATTAGTAATTAATTACTGCATCCCCCAATAAAAAAAATCAATTACTGCATGACAAAAGAGTTGAATTCAAAGGACCCATAGTCAAGAAGCTCTTCAATCATCTCTTCAATGTGATCATCCTCCAGTGGCTTGAAAAACTCTGAATCTGTGCTTCCCATTTCCTCACCCTCCTCTTTTGTCACTGTCCAATCAGCCGTCGACTGCCCCTCCATTTGATGCATCCCCTCGGGCAAAAACGTCGACCTGCCCGAGGAAAACAGATGTTGTTGTGGAGGCGGCAGCGATGTGCCCGCATTGTCCATCTGCAGAGAGGCCATGCAGCATTTCTGCAGTTTGGCCATTAAAGCGGGAGAGAGCGTAGAGGAGGATAATGGCTCGTTTGGGTTGAATGGAAAATTGGTTCTTGCTCTTGGACCGGTAATTATCCTTGCTGCTTCATCATAAGCCCTTGCGGCATCTTCTGCAGTCTCAAATGTCCCAAGCCAAACTCTGGTTTTCCTGCTCATCACAGAACATAAATACATTGTCTTTACTGTTAGTTACTACTCTTCACTTAATTAAAGAAAACCCAAAGTCCCAAAGTGAAAACTTGTCAAATTATTGTAAAGTGATCACACTGATCAATTTAGTTTGAAATAAAATTTGAAGTCTTAATATGATATCAGAAACAAATAAGTTGTAATGAAAAATACTACGCCAAATTTGAAGTGTTTGACTACCCTTCTTTAACGTTGAACTTTTAAGATGAAATATGAAGTCTTAATAGTTATAACCAGAAAAACTTACAATAAAGGATGACGGATTTCGGACACCCAAGAACCCCATTGCCGCTGTCGAACGCCACGGTAACGTTGTTGCTGTCTCGCCATTGTTGAATTAGGAGCTAAAGCTTCACTTCCAGGTCTTCCCTCTTATTTTTTTCTTCCCTTTTTTAGTATAAGAAAGTGTAGAGGGGCTGAGGCTTGACTGAGTGGCTGGGGATATGGGGGGTTTTTGTAGTGGAGTGAATGGCAAATTCAGTGTTAATTTTGTATGGTTTTTTCTTTCTGTTTAATTTGACCTTAAAATCCAATGACATCTAGTGTGGTCTGCTATCCAAATCCCAAAATATTTAATTAATGATGGACCCCACATTCCCAAAGCATGGCTTTAAGGAGTGTTGGATCTTCATTAGTGGGGGTGCCGGGTCTATGCCACATCATGGGGCCATTTCTCATGAATAGATTTTAGGGAGATGCATGGAGCCAAGGTCATAAATCATAATATACCCTTCTCAAAATTGTCAATCTATTAGTTTTCACTCATCATATGTATGTACTATATACGAAGTATTAGCTTGCGGTTAAATTTGAAATCAAGACTTAGGGGTGTTTGGATCTGATTATCAAAACTGATTTTGCTCCTTCAGGGAGCAGAAGCAAAAGCTGGAGTGTTTGAGTGAAATTCCAGAAGCACTTCTGTAGCTCTAATTTACTCTAAGAATCAATTTTTTTAAAAACTGGGGGTACCAGCTTCTGAAAAACTGATTCTGATTCTGCTTCTGCTCTTAAAAAAGAAGCAGAAGCAGAATCAGTTCCAAACACCCCTTAGACACAAAGAATGAAACTTGTAGAAGTATAGATTATCTTTTTTTACTGTAAAAATATATTCCCCTCTCTTAACAACTTTGAAATCTCTATTTTCGTCCGTCCTAATTAAACTTTTGATTTTCCTTTTTGAAAAAGAATTTGAAATTTACAACATTTCTTACACATTTCTCTCTCATTTGCAAATTCTCCACCACACAATAGTCACTATCTTAATCCACGTGTTGTTTGTAATAACGAAGTCTTATTAGGGACGAGGAAGTAGATTATTATATTACTATACGGTGACTATGTAACAATATTATGCGTTACTCGTATTTTTGTAAATAAGTTCTATTTTTGTAATATCTTTGAAATCACTCAATTTTTTAGACGATTTATAATTGAGAAATGGGAAATCAGATGGGACGGAGAGTATATAAGATTTGTGGTCATTATGATTGTCACCATATATGTTACAATATTACGAACATTTCATATTAATTATGATGTGATGCTATAGATATAATTATAACAATATTTGTATTATATTTGTACACTCTTCATGTCTAAAATATCTTACAAATTAGGTTTTGTACGGAGATTAAGAAAATGGAAATCGTGTGGTGCAGAATTGTTTCAATGAAAGAGAAATGTGTAAGAAATGATTGAATCACAATTTTTTGTCAAAAAGAAATGAGAGTTTCATATAGGATGAACGTAATTAAAATGAAATTGGGAAGGTAATTTTGTTTTGGGAGGGAATATATGTTACTAGTACAAGTTTTGATATTGGTGACTTGTATATTGTGTGCAAGGCGGATTCATCCTGATTGTAATAATGAGGTGAAGTTTAAGACAAGAAAAATTACATGTGTATTACGGAGTACCAATTTAGGTCTTCAACTATGTTGTAAAAACCGGACCGGTGAGCGACCCGGTCATGTGACTGGGTCACGGGTCAACCCGGACCCGGAGGGTCAACCCGGTTAAAAGCCGGAAAACCGGTCAACGATTATACGTCTATATAATAATAACAAACATATAATTATATACACTCTCATTATATATTTTTATTTGTATTGTACATTTATATTATAATTTGGCATGATTTTCATTCTGAAATAAATATATAAATATATTACATAGTTTTTCTTTTTAGGGAATTGAAATTGCAATTTTATTGGTTTAAAACATGCATTAAAATTAAAAAAGAAATTACTTTTTGTTTTTGGAAAAGACCGAAAACCGGGTTTTCCCGGGTTTTTCGGGTTTCTTGGGTCGGGTCTAGATCAGATTTTTTCGGGTCAGCCGGGTTTTTCCGGTTTTTGACCATTTTCGGGTTTTGAAGAAACCGAACCGGATTTTTGTCAGGGTCACCGGGTTCCGGGTCAACCCGGCCGGGTCGGGTCGGTTTTTTAAACATAGGTCTTCAACACAAAAATATTCAACACAAAAATATGACTAATATGTTTTTTGGATAAAAACATGATTACTCATTGTGTACGAGTAACTAGACAACAATCATTATAGTATACTTTAGAGTGATAAAATGTTCGTAGATGACGAGTCACTAAAAACTATTCAATAAATATGTCATTTTTTGAAAAACTTTATAGTGAGTTGTGCTTCTATCTTTTGAGGAAGCGGTCCAGTTCAATTGGTCACAGATTCACCCTCTCTTATGGGAGCTTCCGATTTCACTACTCAATGAAGTGAATTTGATTTCAGTTTATCTCCGGGCTAACTCATCAGCCCCTCCCCCGATCCCCTTGGCGTAGTATGACATTTAATTAATATTCCTCTATTTATCTGACTTTACCGGCTTTTCCTTTTTTCAATTCTTCCCAAACAATCAATTTTACCTTAATGGAATCTCAACTACGATTTCTTTTTTACTTTCTTACTTCCGTATTTGAAATGGTGGTCTTGCGTAGCAACACTGAACTTTTTTTTGACATGTGAGAACACATATACGAAGTACTTCGTATTTCTTTTGACGTCCAACCAGCACCTCCGATTTCCATTCTATAATTTTACTTTGGGGTACTTTCTTACTTTTGACGTATTTCTTGGAACCTAAAAACTTATCAAACACAAGATTTGCCAACCGATTTCCATTCTATAATTTGTTCCTGGTTTACTAAGAGCATCTCCAATACTAAAATGTGCACGGTGCACATGTGGCATAAGTGATAGCCACATAAATATTAGCAAATAAATTATCTCTCTCCTTATTTGAATGATTTTATACAATTGTGGTAAGTTTTTCCCTACAATATCAACATTTAGACGATCTCCTTGACATTGTGGAGAAAAAGTTACTAAATCTATATAAAATCATTAAAATAAGGAGAGAAAGAATTTATTCACTAATATTTATGTGGTTATCTCTCATGCCATATGTGCATCATGCACATTATACCATTGGAGATGCTCTAATGAAATATATTTTTAATTTTTTTTTTTCGAAATTCAACAAATTCATGAAATTCAATAGGTTATTATGCTCAATCATATTTTTGTCGCTAAACGGTAATTTAATCCAATTAATCTTTCACCTTCTCATTTTATATCTTTCACTTATTTTTTGAAGATTAGATTGGTAAAATAACAATTTTATCTTCTGTTATTTGCTTAGGGGTAATCGAAAGAAACCGGCCAGTTTGATTTCTAATACTCCGTACTACGTATATAGGCTCATAGTTATTTGTTTGAGTTTCAACCATTTCACATCGTCAAATTTTAGTAAACAAACGTTAGATACGAAACGGAATGATCATTTTTTCGTTCATTGCATCACATTAAAGAGATGCCGGGTACCAATAACATATCTCACGTAATGATAAATATACGTAGGTCACAAGTTGAATGTTTTTTATTGAAATGGTTTCAATCACATGTGAGATCATATCACATCAAACTAGCTTACATGACAACATACCAAATAAAACTTCCACAAATTTAGGATACACATACAATAAATGTCTAACAAATCAAAATAGATTGGACCAGATCGACTTAAATGAGTCAGACTAAATCAGATTAGATCATATCTGACTATATTAGAATTGAAAATTCCAATTAAAGATGTCCTCAGAACTACTCCCTCCGTCCAAAGACACATTATTCCCTTTTTGGCAAACAAAACGGTGCAAAACAGTGTCAAACAGTGTTCCCCCTAAAGATGTGTGCAATTCAATATGTGCCTTTTATATAGGGATGGAGGGAGTATTTCTCTATCAATTACGAACCCCGATCCTAAAATTGAATATCACTGTATGGAGAATTTCTCTAAAAATTAAGAGAGGAATCAGTTTTATGGACTATTCAATAGAAAATAACAAATTCTAAAAGAATCCTACGCTGATTGTGGGACCTATATAATACTCCCTCCGTCCCATATGAATGTTTATGTTTGCTTTTGACACAGTATTTTAGGGTATAAATTAATAGAACAGAAAAATCCCTTTTGCCCCTTATCTTTAGTTACTAGACAATTCCAGTAAGGATGTTTTTACTTGGACTGTAATTTTCCCCAGACCAGACGAGACCAGTCCAAACCAGACCAGACCAGACCAGACTTGGATAGTTATAAAAATACAAAGAAATCAGACCTTACCAGACCAGACCAGACCATCAAATTACAGTCCAAGTAAAAACATCCTAATTCTCAGACTCGAACTGCAATTTTCAATCAAATCTTCCATTTGCATTGGGTTTTCCATCTTCATCGAACTTCTTAATCATATAGATTCCTTATTTTTCAATTTCAGCTCCTCATTTTTGTCAATAATCTCAACTCTGTTTTTCTCAAAAAATCAAATGCAGTTGCAGCCAACAGGTCATCATCCACATAAGAACCCTCTCCCATCTTCTCCGCACCAGAAATTTCAGAAAAGATTTTCGAGTAGAACATGTCATTAAGTTTCTCACCTCTGGTAGGGCGGCAAAAAATCTCAGATTTGTTGAAGACTTTATCCCTTTCTTCACTGGCCATGCCGCTTTCAGAGCCATCGACCGTATTTTCTTTGAGGCTGCAGGGATACGTCGGAGTTCGGATACATTGGGAATGAGCCACACGCGTCGTAAACGAACCGAATGGAGTCGAATAATAGATTTTGTATTTGTATTTGTATTTGTTTAATTTTTTTGAATACGAATTCGAATTCAAATATCAAACAAATACGGAGTATTAATTTCGATTTGTATTTGTATTTGTTTAACAATACGAATAGTTAAAGAATCATATATGAATATCGAATCACTTTAAAATAACTTTTCTTACACTTGGTATTTTTTATGTTTTAAATGCATGCTATTATTTTTTTGTAAATGCATGCTATGACTTAATATGTGCTCTTAGAAAAAAAGTTCAAAGAATCAATGCATTTTTAGATGGTGCACAATAA